GAAGGAGAAGAAAAGGTGGAAGGAGAAATGTGTTGATTAGACAAAATTTTAAGTTTTTCCCTTACTTATTGGTTCAGATTTTGAAGTCATTGAGGGTTCAATACAGCAGTTAGCAATGTTTGTGTTGATTAAACCCTAACAAATAAGAAAATAATAAAAGAAATTAGTTCATAAACACAAAAAATGAATATTTTTCTTTAAAAATGTCTATTTTATAATTATAATCTCAAAAAAATAACAATATAAAAGTATTTTATTACACAGTATGCAAAACTGCTTGGCGACTGGGCGAGGTGAGCCTCCAAGGGTTCCTTGGTGCCTAGGCGTCGCCTTGACAACTATGCAACAGTATTTTAACATATTGATGAACCTAGATGGATATCAGATTCTTATCATGCTCTATAACAATGATGAGACCATGACAAATGAATCTTTATGATCGTTTCTTAGAGTTCTTCATTTTTGTTTTGTCCTTTCCCCTTCAAAAAGAATGGATAAATTATTCTTAGTTCCAAGCTGAGGCCTTTGGGTTGTTTTAGAACTCTCTTTCTCTCTCTCTCGTTTAGGAAGAGTTTTGACAATTTCTAATATAAATCTGGGTTAGTATCCTTGAATTTGTGAGCATATGAGTTTAAGACATAAAGTTGAACCTATAAAAAATGATTGTAGGTTTTTAGTTTCATAGTTTGAACTTTGAACATGATTTAAAAAGGTTTCCTTGTTGATGATACCTCAAGTAAGGTGATTTAGACATTTTTTGTGTTCAATGTCTAAATTCGTCCTTTGATCTCACCAAAACAGAATAACAATCAACTGAAAGGCAAGTCAAGTTTGACACTGTTTTAAAAGTGAGAAGGGCAAGAAGCAAAGCTAAAGTGCAAGGAATTCCTAGAGCCTTAGGTCTGAGAAACAAGGTGAGTCACCACGTTTTGAAAGAAAAAGAAACAATGCAAGACTATATCTAAAATCTAAATTCTGAAAAACGTGAAAATTTCAGAGAGCCTATCAGCTCAATTGGTTGGAGCATCATGTTATTAACACTGTAGGTTCAAGTTCTGGCTTACTGCATCAGTTAAACTGTTTAAATTATAAACATTTAGCTAGAACCTGTAGTGTTAGTAAATTACCTAATCAAAAACCAAATTCAAGGTTAGCTAAATTACCCAAAAAAAAATTCAATGTTAATTTATGGACTTATCTTAAGGAACCTAGGATTAGCTCCAATAGGTTATAAAATGAGGAAAGTAGATGGCTAAGATGGTTTGGTCACATGCAGAGAAGAGCATACAGCACCAGTAGGAAGAAATGACCTGTTACAAGTTGAAGGGGCTACAAGAGCTAGGGACAGACCAAAAAGGACATTAATTTTAGTAGTCAGAAATGATTTAAGTGTCCATAATTTAACAACAGATATGTCACTGACTTAGCATAATGGAATGATGGAACAGGATTTGTGTATCTCCATATTGTTGGGATTGGGACAAAGGCTTAGATGATGAACAGGAAGCTCTGTGTGATGCCCTTGAGTTGAGTGGAAGAGCTAGACTGCTGTCAATGAAAAAGAAAAAAGCATAAGATTATGTAGGGAGGATCTTGTATTACAGACATGCCTCGTAAAGCCCAAGTATGGAGCATATGTGCTTATGGAGTGGAACATCCCTATTGGAGGCATTTAGTGGAGTTGCAACATCCCTATTGGAGGCATTTAGTGGAGTTGTAATATCCCTATTGGAGTGGAACATCCCTATGGAGTGGAGCACCAATTCAGCAAATCTATAACAAAAGACATTTAGTGGAGTTGCAACATCCCTATTGGAGTTACTAAGCTTATTCCCTTTAAACAAACTAGTAAAGTCTTGACACACCAATACATGCTAGTGAAACAACATAGTAATCTTCTTAAATTTAAAGCATAACTTTGAGGTGTGTCAATTGTTACAGTTGTTAGTTGTATCCTGCATTGTCTCTTCCCTTGTTGTGTTATTTCTAAGTTCTTTTTTTTGGCAGTCTACTGGTTTATTTGGAACTTTGTATGCTAATTGCTAGGTTTCTTCTTCTTTCATAATTTTTCCATTTATAGGAAGAAAAGGCATCAATATCTTCATTTTCATGACTGGTTGAATGCATCATGATTGATTTTTATAAATGGGTCTTTATTCTGGATACCTGGATCTTTTGTACTCTGGCATTTAAACCCTATGTTTTTCCAAATATCTGGTTATGTTCTTATCAACTTTTGGTTATCTTTGTTTCTGTATTGGTATTAATGCAGGACTTTCTCTGGCATTGATTGCAGGATTATACCTCCATGCAGTTACTGAAACAAAGCTTGTAGTGGATACCTCAAGAGGAGAAACCCTACGTATAAATGTAATTTCTTATTTTCTCTTGTAGAGATATCAAAGATATTCTCATTCTGAAGCACTATATGTGAATCCATGCTTGTTTTGATATTTTAAGGTTATGATTTCTCTGGTTATAACAGAGCATTTTGTGTGATTAGATTCATTAGATTATTTAGGATTATACTAAAATGTTTTTGGATAGGTTTTGACTTGAGTGTACTCTGTGTATGTTTTTTGTGTCTTGTATCCATCATGTACGTAAGAATGTGCATCTTCTTAAACCATTTACATGTTGGATACACAAAAGTTTGAGGTGTTTGACATGGACATGACATTGATTTTGAATACACACATCAAAATATGCGTGCTATTCTTCAAAAGAAGAATTAGATGTAACCATCTGAAAATATAAGCCTCTACATAGTTGGAATTGTCTGCTATATAGATGAACCTATAGTTCAAATAAGGATTTATTGAGTTGATGGTTTATCTGCTAATTGCAAATATCAACTATGACTGTTTTAACTTTTAAGTAACTGTTGCATTTTATTTTATTGTTGACCATGATTCCTTCTGATTTTGCAAGTGCAGTTCGATGTCACTTTTCCTGCCCTTTCATGTTCTATTCTCAGTCTGGATGCCATGGATATCAGTGGGGAGCAACATCTTGATGTGGTATGTACTGCAAAGACTATCATACTTTTGTATTATTCTTATGCCTTGTGTTGCTGATTAAATATTGTTCACCTCATTGGTCTCTTGCTGACAGCCATCTTTTCACTCTTATTGCTTCTAACCTTTTTTTGTTCTTGAGCACATCATGGTATTCTGTATAGTCTTGATTCATATGCTGACATCATATTTCACTTGCAGAGACATGATATAATCAAGAAAAGGCTTGATTCTCATGGGAATGCAATTGAATCTAGGCAGGATGGAATTGGTGCACCCAAGGTTTGTAAGAGGATATTATAAATATTTTTCTTAAGGTTTAGAATTCTAAACATAGCTCCATCAATTTTGACCTCCAGATTATCACATTTTTCATGAAAGAATTCCTATTACTATCACATGTTGGAAAGTTATCTGTTTAAATGTGCTGGAATGACATTTGATGTATAATTGGATAGTAAAATTGTGTATTGAGTCCTCTATTCACAGGGCACAATTGTAACCATTGTTTTAATTTCAACATTCATGTTATCTCTGTTGTAGTTTGTGTATTTTCTGTTTGGAGAGGCTGCTCCTCGCGCCTCTAAGGGGATCTTCTTGTATCTATTCATTATTTTAATGGAATTGATTTTATTTATCAAAAACAAAAATTGTGTATTGAGTCCTGTGAATAGAGGATCAAAGACTCAGATGCAATTGTGCTCAGTTGGAAACATTTATGGAAAATCAGCAATTTAATACTTGGGGAAATTTAAACATTTTTGAGCTTCTATAACTGTAATTCTTGATGTCTCATTTCTTGCAGTTCTAGGAATTGTGAGGTGCTAAATTGTCTTGTTTATGGCTACTTGTGCTTTCTCTATATGTTTTCTCTTTCTGCTTCCTTTCAGCATCAATTCATCTGTTACTTCGTGATATTATTGCCAGATTGAAAAGCCTTTGCAGAGACATGGTGGGCGGCTTGAACACAATGAGACATACTGTGGTTCATGTTATGGTGCAGAAGTGGTATGTTTTTACTGTTTTTTTTTTTTTCTTTTTTTTTTTGAGAAATAAGCTTTTAAGATTTGTAAATCAGAGTTCAACTGGAATGCAGAATTAGGAAAACCCATAAAGTATGATATGCACAATATTTTAGTTGGCTTAAAAAATAAATATTTTAGGTAAAAATAGGGTTTTAATGAGATATACACTGGTCATTACTCTACATGATAAATCTAGTTGAAAAGACATAATTTATGTTATTATATGTTTTTTCACTTCATTTTTTTTTCTATTGAGAAGCGTAGGTTTTGTCTTCCTTTTCAAGTTGAAGCAGTTTATCAAATTTCCATTTGTGTTGTTTTCCGGTTTCTTTCTATAAGGACTGGGTGCAGTTGGTAGTTTGTGCTGGGGGTCTTTCTTACTTGGGCGATATTTTATCATATTCTTTATGTATTCTCATTTTTCTTTTAATGAAAATTTTATTTTACTACAAAAAATTATGTTTCATCCAAATTGAACAAAAAATAATTTCTCTCAACTCTTCCTACAGTGGCAATTTTGCAAACTTTTTTTTTCTATGGATAGCAATTTTGTGATTCTATTTTTTTATAAAATTGGGTAAATTTTGATATTTTATGGTTTTTCTTGTTTCATTATTGTTGAAAGAATGTTTTAGTTTGTTTAAAGTGTCAGGATATCTTACTGGGTCTTATTATAGTATTTTTAGAATTTTGAGAAATATTGTAAGTTGTGTATCCGTCACTTCTCTTGCAACCTAATCTTTTTTATTGGTCTCTTGCAACATAAGTTTTGAATTTTCAAACTTGTCACTTTGACATAATTTTTTAGATTTTTTTTTTCCATTTTTGCAGCACATTTGGCAAGACCAAGATCTTGTCTAATGTGTTTTGGGAAAGCTGTAGGGTTGGACTTGACACGTCCCAACAGTCTTAAGGCTTTTTGTGTATTGGTCAAGCATGTAACAAATGGTATTAGAGCCTACCACCACATCTGAATTTCAAATTATAGGGAGGGCTACCTGGGAGAAGAGCTACCTAGAGCAAAGTGAAACCTACTCCGGAAAGGGCTACCTGGAGTAGAGTGAAAGCCACTAGAAGGACAGGCCTACCTGCTGCCAGAGTGTGAGCTGTCATGGAGAGGGCTACCAGCTACTTGTTGCTAGAGTGAGAGCTGCCTAGAGTGAAGCTGTCGAGACCTTGGCTGTGGAAGCGTGATGGTATATTACCTTTCTAAATGTTAGAGGGCTTGACTTGACACGTACAAACAGTTAAGGCTTTTGATGCATTGGTCAAGCACGGAACATAAGGTGTCAATAAATGACTGGATTGTGTGTTAGGAATCAACTGGTTAGATCCTTAGGAATCTTTTAGTATTTTTTTATTTAAAAATAGTTAAATGGGTTAGCCCAGCTCAGGATCCATGATCATGAGAGTTTGGCAGAAGTTTTAGTGCTAACTTCTAACCTAATGCAACTTTCCTTTATTGGGACCAGTGGTGGAAGACAAGCTTACACCGGTAAAGTTTAAAAGAAAGTGAATTTAAATTTAGGGTATATAATGGGATTTTTATTTTAATGAATTTTCTCTGTACTTATCAAAAAGTTTTAAGTTCAGGGTATATGATGAGCTTTATCATAAATTAGGTGCATCAAAGAGAGGATGCTAATGAGGGTTGGCCCAACTCATAGCCTTTTTTATTGTAACTGAATTCGGAATGAATTGGGATCAAATGAGTTCTGTGTTTGGACTTTGGAGATGTGGTTTTTTCTTGGTCTCTCCCCCTCCCTTCCCCCTCTAGTTCTGGAACTCCACTTTTTGCAAGTGTAACTCTTAATCCAGCCTTGTTGTTTTATTGTTTAGTTTCCAGAAAGCATATGAAATGAAACCTTACTTCTTCCTTAGGTCATTCCACAGCCCACTAGGGTTCTGATTTTCAGTAGACCTTCTGCCCACCTGATTAAAGGCACTTGTCTTGTTTTATATTGTAGTCTTTGATAATAAATCCCTGATATTTTTCCATCATACCATCATTTGTGTCTATTGAAAATTTAGCTGGGAAAAAAGGAAACAACAGTCAATGGAAAAACTTCTGGACTGCACATATATTTTTATTTTATCATGTGAATCTAAGGTTTGCATGCAAGGGAAATAAAGAAGACCTGTTGTTGCTCATAGAGGGGAAAAGTTAAATCATGTTTTCATGGATCAAATAGTCAGATATCCCAAGGTTATTTTCTTTTATCTTTTTCTTTTTACAAAGTTTCCATAGTTATTTGGCAACACCGCAACAGTCTAGTTGATCTGATTGCTCTTCTTGAGGTCCACATTTTGTAGCTTGGTGGCTTTCCTTTACATATCCAAGCCTCTACAAGGTTGGCTTTCTGGTTTTGTTCTGTATAAAAAGTACAATGCATTATTATTTATGATTGTATACTAAGAGAAAATCCCTCACTAGTTATCTGGTTATACACAATGGTTATGACATATTTTATCAATTATCTGAATGTTTGTTGATTATTGCATTTCTTCATGGGTTTTTTTTCTTGTTTCTGCTTTTTATCTACTAGTATGAATATTTTATTACTACTTTTTTAATAATATCACTAGCCATTCATGTTTCTGTTATAGCATCAGTTATTTTTCTGTAATGTTGTTTTAGCTTATAGTTGACATATTGTCATATTAGTTCAGAGAAGAATCTGTTGACATGCAGCATAATATGTTCCTGTTAGGAAAACAAGTGGCATTTATTTCTCTGTATTATCTGAATTTCTTATTTGTTTTGCAGTCAGATGATGATTGCTGTAACTCATGTGAAGAAGTTCGTGAAGCATATAGAAAGAAGGGATGGGGGCTGTCAAATCCAGATTTGATTGATCAGGTCTGTTGGTATAGAATCCATTGGTTTTGTTTTTGGCTTTTTCTAGTTGTCCCTTATTGAGGCAGGGAATATTGTTAAAAACTGAGGTAATTATCTTCTTCTCTGTCTATTGGGACAATGCAGTGAGGTGAAGGAAGTTTCCTAGTCAGTCTTCCAAAGTAATACCAAAAAAAATAAAATCAGTCTTGCAATGAAATCTGAAAAATTTGTGGGCAGGAAAAGAAGTTTTAAGGCGTCTGACCAAGTCCTTATCATCAAAGGAAGTTATGTAATGCTTCTGGTTGTTTTAACCAAGTTCTTAGCTATGTTTTGACAGTACCATAGTATTCTATATTATAGTCGTCACTAGGACATTACATGAAATTTGCCATAAGATGATGCACACACAAGTCTATGGATTTGCATGCTGATAAGTAATTCTAATATCAACACATTCTCTATTGACATAGTTGTGAATCTCTTAGGGAGCTTTGCTCAGAATGCTGCTCCAATTCTCTGACCACTCTGGAGCCGTGTAACCTCTGAGGAATGTGTGAAAATAGTTGTATTCATCGTAGGTTTAAAATATCAAAACTAGGTATATATTACTTTTTTGTGTTATTTTTTCTGCAGTCTAAATTGTTTACTTCTACAAGAAGTTCAGATTATTTCCTTCACATACAATCAATACAATCACATCTCTTATCTAAAATAATAGGGTGGTGAGTGGGCACATCTCATTCTTTTTTCTTTTTTTTTTAACCTGGAAAACCCCAAATTAATAATCAAAGTACCTGTAAAAGACAATAATGCACCTGCATATTGATTTATATCATTCTAAATAGGGGTCTCTTTTTGTATTTCATCTGGATGCACCTCAGTTGTCAAAAATAGTATGTGCCAAAATCATCCCCCAAAAAATATTGTATCAAGTAATATTAAGATGATACATGGGATTTATGTAGCTAGCCCAAATAAATGGCCCAAGTCTAAGTGACGTTGATAAATCTCCTTAATACTTCCCACCTATTTCCTGTCTCTTTTCTCTATTCCAAACAAAGTTGCAAGTCAGCTTGAAAAACTTCAAAGGAATTTTCTTTGGAGGGGATGGGAAGAGGAGAAAAAAATGCATTTGGTAAGTTGGGAGCAAGTCTGCCTCCCTAAAGGTGAAGGGGGGTTAGGCATAAGGAAGTTGAAATTTTTTAATTTTGCTCTCCTCTGCAAGTGGATTTGGAGATTTGCGGCAGAAAATGATGCCTGGTGGAGATCTCTCATTGCTAGTAAATATGGTGTGGAATGGGGTAATTGGAGAATGAGGGACCCTCTTCCTAATTGGGGAAACTCTTTGTGGAAAGGGATAATGAAGAAATTCTCAGCTCTTGCTGGTGGGGTCTCAAATAAAGTTGGCAATGGTATTAGGACCAAGTTTTAGAAGGACTCTTGGTGCTCGGATGACCCCCTTGCTGATTCCTTTACTCTCCTCTTCTAGTACGCTTCAAATCAAGAGGCTTCAGTTGCAGAGTGCTGTAGTGTATCTGGTGGTTCAGTTCTTTGGTCTCCTTCATTTAGAAGGAACCTTTTCGACTGGGAGGTGGATGAGGTTTTGAATCCGTTGTCCTGTCTTCAGAATCAAGAGTTGGATTTCAGCTCAGAGGATAAGTGGCAGTGGAAGTGGAACTCAGATGATGTGTTCTCTGTCAAGTCTCTGGCTTCTAACCTCTGTAGAAGGGGTGTTTCTGATTTCCCTTGTCCTCAGATGTGGAATCCCACCAGCCCAACTAAATCTAACTTCCTAGTTTGGGCTATGGCTTTAAATAAATGTCTTACTAGAGCTAACCTTGTGAGAAGGGGCATTCAGCTTTTGGACCTGTCATGCAGCCTGTGTGGGAGTCGTGCTGAATCTACTGATCATTTGTGCATTCACTGCCCGTTTTCTTCTCAACTGTGGAATCATTTCTTCAGCTCTATGAACTTAAGTTGGGTCATGCCAAGCTCGGTTAAGGAGCTGTTGTGTTGCTGGAAGCTCATGGGGTTGAGCAAGAAAAGAAGATTGTTTGGAAGACTATTCCTAATGCTGTGTTATGGTCCATCTGGTCTGAGAGGAATAGAAGGATATTCTGTAACAACGCTTTAAGTTTGGATGAGCTAATTCAGAAAGCAGTGGCAAACTGATGTCTTGGGTGTCTGTCCTGAGGATTTCAGAAATTGTAATGTGTCTGCTGTTTTTCTTTCTAGTTCTTGGTGGAATGTGTAATTGCTGATTAGATCAGTCGGCCTTTCAGGGACTGATCTCAGCCTCCCTCGTGTATCTCTTATCTCAATAAATATTACTTTACCTTTCCAAAAAAAAAGCATTAGTCCAGAATGGGAAAATAGCTTTTTAAATAACCTCCATACATGTATTGTTAGGGTGGTGTAAATATAGAAGTACCTAATTGAGGTTATCTGAAGAAATAAGTAATAAATGATTAATCTTGTGTAAGGGGAATGATGACATGTGAATTTGGAGAACTGCCCATTTCACATATAGTAGAGAAACTCAGCCCATTTCACATAGAGGAAGTATGTGCATACGTGCCCCATTTCCATTACCTGGTGTAATGGTTAAAATCTTGAGCTGACAAGCATGAGAACTCGTGTTCAAGTTTGACAACAGCCTTTTTGTGCTGGAAAAAATGTCCAAAGGTTAGGTCTGTATCCAGTCCACCACCTCCAAGACCCTAGATATCTAGGACCAACATCGGTTAATCTCCTTATTTATGTATACCCTTTTTCCTCTGTAAATTTAATGTAAATCATAGCATACTAAAAAATAAGTCTTGTCAGAATCATGTAATAATTGATATTTCTGAAAAACATGGTTTGGTTAATGTGAGGCATATGAAGCATTGGGTGGGGCCATATTGAAGGTGAAGCCCGATTCAATCCAAGCATTTGCTTTTTGATTGAATAACACGAGGTTTTATTAACAGGAGTATAAAGCAATCTTAGGGCCAAGTGAACTAGTATAAAGAAGGCATTTAGAAAGAATATGCTCATTCGGGACCAAATTCCAGTGCCTGTACACCACCCAAGATCCTGTTTGATCCTCAAGAAAGCATGTAGGTGTAGTCGTATGAGACTACTAACAACCCAAGTTGTGGTGTATAATCAACAGGAAATTAAGAAGATGAGAGAAGAGAATGAGAGGAGAAAGAGAGAAGAAGAATTTGAAGGAAGAGTTTCAGAAAAGAAGAGGATGCTCAATCTGTCGCCCCCTCTTTCTATTAATATTAATTCTGAAGTAAGGATAAGACTGCTTACATGGCAAAAATAAAATCCTAATAAAAGATTAATAACTAATTGTGGACTGACTTAAATAACTAATAGTTGTATACGAGTACAATAGAAAGAGGTGGGGACCACATCAGTGGTTTCTACACTCTTCCTCAAGTTGGGAATAGATGTTTCTCGTTCCCAACTTGCATAGATCTGCTTCTAACTTCTTCTTTGAAACTGCCTTGGTGAGAAGATCGGCAAACTGCATGTTGGAGCTGATATATGGAAGACAAACTTCTTGAGATGCAACCCTTTCCTTAATAAAATGTCGATCCACTTCAATGTGCTTGGTTCTGTCATGTTGTATCGGGTTATGAGCTATATTAATAGCAGCCTGATTATCACAGTACAACATTAGAGGTTTCTCATAGGTAATACCCAATTCATCAAACAATGATTTCAACCATATTATTTAAGCCACAGCATTTGCCATGGACCGATATTCAGCTTTAGCACTGGAACGAGAAACAACATTTTGTTTCTTACTCCTCCAAGAAACAAGGTTTCCTCCTACAAAGGCACAATATCATCAACACAACTGGCCCAATCTACACCTGTGTAAACTTCTATCTTCATGTGATTATTATCCTTAAATAGTACACCTCTGCCTGGACACCTCTTTAAATATACCAATATCCTCTCAACAAGTAGGTGGGTAGTTCTAAGAGAGTGCATATACTGACTAAAAACACTGACTACATAGCTGATGTCTGGTCGTGTAAGACAAAGATAGAGTAGTTTCCTAACTAATCATTGTGATTCTGTTGAATAGGTGTATCGGCTGGCTTAACACCCAACTTTCTTGTTTCTTCTAACAAATCAAGGACATACTTCCTTTGAGAAACAAAGATTCCATGCTTGGATCGAGCTACATCAATACCCAAGAAATATCGTAGCTCTCCTAGGTCTTTTACCTCAAATTCTTGATGGAGAAGTTTCTTAAGAGACTCAATTTCACTATTATCACTCTTTGTTACTACAATGCCATCAACATATACAACAAGTAGAGTCAAGGAAGTGTCCACTTTCTTAATAAATGAAGTGTGATATGATTGAGCCTGCACATAGCCAAACTTTTCAAGGGCTTGTTTGAATTTATCAAACCAATCTCTAGGGGACTGTTTTAGGTCATACAAAGCTTTTTTCAGCCGATAAGCCTTCTTATCTGTCTCTATACTATAAAAACCAGGAGGTAACTGCATGTACACTTCTTGTAAGTCTCCATTGAGGAAGGCATTTTTAACATCCATTTAGAACAAGGGCCAAGAGTAATTGGCTGCAAGAGATAATAACACTCTGATAGTGGTCATTTTTGCTACTGGTGCGAAAGTCTCCAAGTAATCTATACCATAAGTCAGAGTAAATCCCTTTGCAACTAACCAGGCCTTATACCTTTCAATGGAACCATCGACATTATATTTCACAATAAACACTCATCTACATCTAACTGGTTTCTTCCCTTTAGGTTGATCAATTACTTCCCAGGCATTGTTTCTTAGAAGGACATCCATTTCTACCTTCATTGCATCCTTCCACTCAGGAATGGTCAGGGCTTCCTGTACTGTTCTGGGAATGGGAATATCAACAATGGATGTAAGAAAGGACTTGTAAGAGGGAGGTAGATGATCAGCTGTGATTATTGTTTTTCTTTCCTAGTTTACTTGTAAGACTCAAGGAGGGGCTGTAGCTCGTGCCTCTCGTTG